TCTCTGAGCCTGACAAAGGGGACCCTGTGTGGCCCCGAAAGCGCTTGCCAATGAGAGACAGCATCTGTCAATAAATGAGCATCTAATTGCTGTTATTATCGTTGTTGGAGTGCTGGTGACGTCTTCCTTTTTGTCTATGTGTGGCGGTGCCATCCGCAGTCATTTCGAGCACCTGTCTTTTTGTGGGGAGTCCCAGTAAGGAGTGCGGCAAGTTTTCTTTTTTCTTATCCAAAGCTCAGTATATCGCGAACTATAGCTTGCGGTATTCTGAGACCGCCGCAGCCGGGACGGTTCCCGACATTACTGGAGGATCGGAGCAGGGAGGGGGGAATCCCTGCGGGGAGCCATGACTGACAGTCACAGCTCTCTGCAGGGACATGATCGAGAAGTGAGCGAGCGACGGTATGTGTTCGCTCACTTCCCAATCTATTGAGCTGACGTGTGACAGTTTTATTGTCACACGTCGGCTTGAACTATGACACTGAGTGATTTTCACTCACCTCATAGTTCTCCTTTAACTCTGAGCTCTCTCTTTCAATTGCCAAGTTCCATTTGTTTTTAACCCCTATTGGCTTTTAGTGCTGCCCCTCCCTCTCACACTGAAATCCTAATGTGTAATTACAGTACAAAGATGATGAAAGTTCTATTTAAACATTTAGGATTGTTTTAATTAATATATAACATTAAAAAATGATTTAATGAGGGCCAAACCTGACTACATTTGTGTGTCTAGTGAGTATACTTATTTATTTCTGGTATTTATATAGCGCTGACAATTTGCACAGCACTTGACATAGTGACACATTTACATGAATCCCTGCCCTCAAGGAGTTTATAATCTAAGGTCCCTATCTCACATGCATAGGTGTAATACTCTACCTCCTACCGGGCGTGTTTCTGAATCACAACTGCGGAGCGTTTAGCTTTGTCTATAGGAATGGGGGTCAGCCTCTGCAGCTCGGTCTCCAATTGCCCTGTATTTATTGAGGCTTGGAGGGAGCTGCCTCACATCATGCCCCGTATCCTGAGTTGAGCGGGGTACTATGAATGCCTCAGACGTCTCCCGTGCAGTAGGCAGTTTGGTAAGGGGTACGAAGTGGGCCATCTTGGTCAGATGGTCGACAACGACCAATATGGTGTTGTGTCCTTTGGAAGGAGGAAGATCCACTATGAAGTCTAATGCAACCACCTCCCAAGGGTTATCAGGTATGGGAAGGTTGGTCAATAGCCCGTAGGGAGGACGTTTCTCGTGTTTGCAGGTTGCACATACGTTACACGTTGTTACGTAGCTAGTTATGGTGTCTTGCATTCCCGGCCACCAGAAGTGCCGCTGTACGAGGTCCAGCGTCCGTTTAACTCCCGGATGACCTGCGGTCGGGGAGTCGTGCAATAGCTTTAGGATGGGCACATGCAAGGAGGGCGGAACGAACAACCTGGAGCCTCTGTAGAAGAACCCCTCGGAATCCCGTACAAGACCAGCAGGGAGAGAGGACACAGTCTGCAGTTCCGATTGGAGTTGCTGCTTGAGTCCCACGAGGGTAGCGATGATCCTTCCGGGGGGTATTATAGAGGCGGGTGCGCCTTCGGCTCTTGAGGAGTCACCGATTCTAGAGAGCGAGTCCGCTTTCCCATTTTTGGAACCAGGACGGTAGGTGATTAGATAGTTAAAACGGTCAAAGTAGAAGCTCCAGCGTGAAAGGTTGAGTGTTCTGCGCTATGAAACAGACCCCAAGGGGGAATAGGTCAATTTAGACAGGAGCCAATTAACCTACCAGCATGTCTTTGGAGTGTGGGCAGAAACCCACACAAGCAGAGCGTGGAACATGCAAACTCCTTGCAGATAGTGACCTGGCCAGGATTCAAACCAGGGACCCCCAGTACAGCAAAGCATAAGAGCTAATCACTAGGCCACTGTACTGTTGTATGTATGAACTGTATCTATATTTATATATACAAAGCAACTTCCCAACATGTTACTTTTCAACATATTCTCCTTTAAACTCAACCTTCCTTTTTTCCTGTATAGTAAAGTTATGTTTTACCCTCCAGAGTAGAAGAATAGGAAGGATTATGGTGTGGAAATGAGCATATCAGCTTGGATACCAATGCCCCTAGTCATTTGTAAAGAGTTGAGGCACTTAACCTGCAAGAGACCTTTAGATGAAGGAAAATGTATCAAATTATTGGAAACTTTCTAGGCATCTTTGTCAAGACTTTGCAAATTAACTTTATGGTTAGCGTGCAGTAATATTACTAATTAAGCCATTATAAACATTTAAACCTTCTGACATCTGCATACAAAAGCTTATTCACAGTAGGTAATAACTACTACTTACAGTGACACTAAACTCAGGAGTTAAATCTAGAAAAAGTTATTATCTCTTACAGGTAATAACGCTTTACATAGCTGCACATTTGCATCAGTCCCTCCCCTTAACGGACTCACATTCTAAGATCCAGTTCTCACATGCATACATACAGGAGCAAATTAACCTTTCAACATGTCTTTGGAGTCTTTGGGAGGAAACCCACACAAGCACAGGAAGATCCTGCAAACTCCTTGCCGATAGTGTCCTGCAAGGAGTTTGAACCAGAGACCCTCAATGTTGCAAGGCGGAAGTGCTACTGCACTGCTTTTAAATGTTCCCCAAAAATGCATTTGAATACCTGAACTAGTAACAAAAATGTAGTTTATTTGTGTATCACTCAGCTGTAGATCCTCTTATAATCTCTGAATACACTGTCCTTCCTTCTGGAGGGTGGCTGCTTTTGTTCCCCTTGGTCCCTGTGTGTGTTGCAAAATAGCCACCACTCCAAGCTCACTCCCATGATGGACTACAATCTCAATACAAGTTAGTTAACTAAATGTGAGATTGTAGTCCATCATGTGAGTGATCTTGGAGCGGTGGCTCCTTTACAACACGCACAGGGACCATGGGGAACGAAAGTAGCCACCTTATAGAAGGAAAGACAGTGTGAGCACCAATTTAGAGATTATTTGAGAATCTGCTGCTGAGTGATGCACAAATAAGTTAAATTTTGTTAATAGTTAAGGTAATTGAAAGCATTTTTAAGATTTAATTCCTGAGTTTAGTGTCACTTTAAAAAACATTTTACAAAAAAAAGTATTGCGTAAAGTACTTTTTTTGTTACCCCTTTTTCCTAAATGATATCAAAAGGTTCCTTTTTGTTTATATGTTCACTGCAGTTTTTTCCAAAGTGCAAATTAGCAATATTTTTAACTTTCTGTCAGCCTTGATTAATGGTCCCTTATCTTATATGGACATAACTGGTCAGTGTTAACAGCAAGTGTGGAAACTTCAAGTGCCTATAAATATGACAGTTTTTAGTGCTTCTGTGGTTCGAATACATTTCTAATATAGTTAGTTACTTTTACTTTTGCTTACTTCACATGATAACATTTGACAGGTAAGACATTGCTTATGGTTTGTCACATTAAATAATATAAAGTCACACTTTTGATTTTTGTGTTTCTTAAGGCACCAAATCTTAATGAGTAACACTTTGCAAACTTTTTTTTTTAAACAAAACCTTAAAGAACTTGCTTTGGAAAATGAGATAAGATCCATTCTAATATATTTGGAAAATGCCTGGTGATAATAGAAATGGAATTTCCATTAGACACCTTATAACATAGAAGGATTCTGGATTGTTTTACAGTCTGAGGAGTGATTTACTAAGGGTTGCCAGAACATCGGACACATGTTGTCTTTAAACTATCAGTTTTAGTAAGGAGGAATATAACAAAAATCACTGGTTGTTTGCAAGAGAAAACACAAGAATATTTTTTTGTAAATAACCTTTGACTATCAAAAATGTATATTGAATATCGCAAACTCATCAAAAATGTTACATGTATATATTTGACTTTTCTCATGTTTATGCTTAAGTGACTCTAGGGAAAAATATATATAGGCCCATTACTGATTAGCAGATACTGTAAGGTCTTCCTTACTTTCTCGCAGCAGGAGCCCCTGAATTTCTGTGCAAAATTAGACTTCCTAGAAAGTCGAACTTTTGCACAGAAGAATGTAAGCTCCCTGGTCTCCATGTAATAGTGCCTGAGCCTTGCAGTTGGCTGTTCATGAACCAAACACTGCATTATAGGAACCAAGAAGGCTGTACATTAGTGCCCCATACCCAAAATACCAAGAACATGAGAACATGAGGGTTAAGGCAGTTGCTGCATTAGCAGGAAGTGAGGTAGAGGTAAAATATGCTATGTAGTGGCATACCCTATTATCTTTTTTCCCTACAGGTTTCCTTTGAAAAGGATGTCACTTCTATAAAATCAGGGAAGATGTCCCCTCTCACACTCTGGTGTGGACCATTGATGGTCTTTCCTCATGTGCCCACCATAGTCAGTTGTTTTGTGCTTTAATAAGATGCAGTCATATAGCTTCTGAAAGCTCAGAGCTGATTTGCTCATTCTAGCATTACTTTAGAGCCACATTATTCAGAATAAGAATTGTATGGCTCTTGATTTTGTTTAGGTTCTGGTTAAAGTGGGCCTAACGTTGGAAGCTGAGGTACATCTATATGTCCACCCAAAATAGCACCTATATATTTATGACCTAGCAAGTTACTTCTCCAGGTCCCCTGCTACTTTCTAACTCTAGAACTGGAAATCTGTGAGATAATGGCAACAGCCACTTAATGCCTTTGCCTCTAATAGCCCCAGCTTCTTTTGTTGAGGAGTCAGAGGACCCAATGGAGGGCCTCCCTGAATCCCAGGTATATATTTGGGTGCTATTTATTACTTTAATTAAAGCTAGACATCATGGGTTCAAGGCAATACCAAAATCTGCATTATGACTAGTTCTTGAAGGAGTGCATTGTTTTTGCTTGTACCATTTATTTGTAAATTGTTATATTATGTATTTGTAAGCTTTTTGTCGCATGTAAACATTATTAAGTACTAGTTGTCTGAAATGGCCATCATGTACCAGTTTTGTAACATGTCTTATCTTGCTCTACAGGCAGCAGGGAGGCTGCATTCACTTACGCCATCATTGCGGCTGGTGTGGCCCACTCCATTACGTCTGCTTGTACTCAAGGAAACATGAGTGACTGTGGGTGTGATAAGGAGAAACAAGGACAATTTCACAGGGAAGAAGGCTGGAAATGGGGAGGCTGTTCTGCCGATATCAGATATGGATTAGTATTTTCCAAGGACTTTGTGGACTCCAGGGAAATCAGGCAGAACGCAAGGGCGCTCATGAACCTTCACAACAATGAGGCTGGACGCAAGGTAAGATTCTGACCACAATTTACATACAGACGTTGGCATCATTCAACATGTGATGGTTAGGAGGACTGAGGTCAGACTGCCCAAAAAAGGAAAATTCTGCTAAGTATTGTTTGTATGTAACATGACCACATAGCATGTGCCTAAATGTGCTTTTACAAATAGTAGAACCTCTTATGTGTCCTCACCATTATCATTGCCGGGACCCATTTGGAGAAATGTGAACTTTTCCCCGGTGAATGAGCACTCCTCTTCCCAGGCAAGTCATAAAGGAGCAAGTCAGAACCAGGAACTGAGACTGAGTTCCTACCATACAACAGAAACGTTCAGCATTTTGATATATGTAAGCTGTCTAGTCAATCAGCCTGGTGTAGTAGGGGTGGCACACAATGGGCTACATACTGTATTACCTGGTCTTACATTGCAGGTAAAGTTGGTGAAGGCTTGTTACATACAAGTTAAATATATTTCTTGTTTTTAACAAATCTTTACTTTAAATCAATATCCTGTCTTTTAATTAGACTAAGTTCTTCTTTAAAGGAGAAATGGATCTTGGTAGGAAATGGATGGGTCAGCAACTGCTAGTTTTCGGGTGATATACTGTCAGGCTTAGACAAAATAAGTAACATTTTTCATAAACAAGCTTTCACAATTATAATACTTGAAGTTAATTATGTATTTACCCTTTGCCACTAGAAATGTGAGACATTAGTGAAAATCATTCTAAACATCAAGACATTTTTAACAGACCATTATCTAAATTTCCGGGCTAATATAATTACAGATATCTGCAACTGTTCAAAGTGCAAACAATCCAAAACTATAAGCAATCAACCTAAACTCATACAAGTTGTATGAAATGATACCAACTATGGTACTATCATTTATTCACTTACAGCCATTTTGTAAAGAATAGTCATTGAACTTTTGAATCTTCCAAAAAAAAATTAGCTGGGTTTGGCCGTTCTAAGGTACCTTACATATAACAGTATACATATGTTCAGCTGCTATCCTTTTATTGTAGCTGCATTGTCTCTACTCTGCATTCAGTTTTCGGCATGCTGTGGAGATAAGTGTGCCAACTGAGTTTCCATGGAAATTTAATTAAAATGTTGGCAGTGACTGATACCTTCAGGAGGGAAGTTTAGCAGGCAGTGGATGGCTGAGAAGCCAAGAACCCAAAAGGGAATTTGCCCCTGGGCCAGTGTATTTATCTAATAGAGTTGGCAAATAGAGGAGGAAAGGACTCATTTTATGGTGTAATTAGTTCTTTAAGCATGCAATTAAGGCATAAAGCAAAATAAGGTGTGGCTGTCTTCTAGATCTCAGTAGGCCCTAAAAGCAGTATATAGCACATTTTCTCAACAAGGAGATATAATAAATATTGCCAGGTCTATACAATAATGCAATGCAAAGAGCAAAGTGCAATAAGTAATAGTAGCCAGTCATATATCACCTGTTCTAAAGCTGGCCATACACAGTAATATTTTCTTCGTTGTACCCGCGGGCTGAAGGAAGAAAATATTACAGATTCCTCCATCATTGCTTATGAGCGTCGATGGAGGAATCTTCCGCTGTCTTTATTGTTTTCTGACAACGTTTTAATTTACAAGTAACAATGAAAGCATATCTGAACCTGCAAACAAAAAATGAATATATTGCACTTTACTTAAGCTTAGAGTAGATGTTGTGGCTGCATTCATTTTCTTTTTTTCAAGTTTTTTCCTTTATTTGTACCTGGTGATTCTTCCAGTAAAACACTTCCAGTTTCAGGATGACTACACTAACACATCCTTCTCTATCAGTACAATAGAAACAAGATAAGACTACGGAAATAAGTCTATTTCATATTTTAACAGCTGTTACAGTAAAGACGCCTTTTCATATGCAGAGGTTAAACCTGTTTTCCTGCAGGTGCTATGAGTGCCCTTTATTTGCAATGACCTTAATGTGAACAACTTTGCGCAAAGTTTAGCTGGTATATCATTTTTACATGACACACACCTCCTATGTATTTTTTGCGATAATGGTGGATTATAGAGGTATGGCAGCACACGTGCAGGTATCTCTAGGTGTGTGTTTTCCATCATTACTGCATGTTTAGCAGATATAAAGTGACCACAGGATCATTAAAATTAGGGATGCACAGATATATCGGCCGCCAAAACATATCGGCTGAAAATGGCACTTTTGGCAAAATGCCGAAAGTGCAATTATTCTGCCAATATAGCGGTGCATCTCTGCTTTCTCTCCTCCCCGCTGGGCGCTGCTCTGTGTCCCAGTGGGGAGGAGAGAAACTGTCACAGGTGGCTGAACGCTGCAGGAGGAGAGCGTTGTGATCGGCCGGCGTCTCTCCTCCCTGCACCGCTCAGCCTCCTGCGACAGATCAGGAGAGCGGCCTTGTAGGCGGAGAGAGCCAGCGCTGTCACAGGAGGCCGGCCGGTGGTGCGGGGGAGGAGTTAGCTGTCAGATCGAGCTCTCCTCTCCACACCGCTCGCTCAGCCTCTGGTGACAGCGTGCCAGGAAGGAGAGCAAATACAAACACTCAGCGATCAGTAATCGCTGAGTGTTTGTACATAATTGAGGACATGGTATGTTTAATATATCCTTAATTATGAATGAATGGGAAGTGATCTACATCACCTCCTGTTCATTCATTATTGTGGTTATAGTAAACACACTATATCCACATGTAATAAATGAACAGGAACACTCAGTATAGAGGATCCCTGTTCATTTATAACTGGGGCTGCAGAAAAAGAGATTGAGGACTCTGTGTTCTCAATATCTTTTTCTATTTTAAAAGGGAAATATCAGGGATCTGTTTAGACCCCTAATATTTCCCCGAAGCACCTAAAAGTAAAGCAAAAAATAAAAATATTTAATAAAAATAAATTAAAATGAAATATAAAAAAATTTAAAAGTTTATAAAAAAGAAATAAAAATAAAATATTAAAAAATGTTTTAAAAAGTTAGAAAAAAAGCATTTTAGGTTTCGGCCCAACATTTTTGTTCATTTCAGTTTCTTTTCGGTTTAAAAATTGTCATTTCGGTGCAGCTCTAATTTTAATGATTAGGTTTAGAGGTCAGGTTCAAGTGAACCAGCCTCACCCTGCGCAGAGATTTTTTAAAGTCGTGGAACAACGATCTAAGCACCAACAGAGTGAGAGTGATAATCACTGAGGAGTTTACACTCAGCTAAGAGCACATGTTTTATCAGGAACGCGCACAGTTCACAACATGCACTGCGCAGTTTTGACATTTCAACCTTTCGCTGCCGGAGCATTTTTTCCATTTTTTTGCACACATGTTAAAATGCACATTTTAGGCCTGAAGATTACCTAAAAATATATTTTCTGAAAGAAGAGACTCTGTAGGTTAAAATGGTAGCAGTTGCAATTTTTTATGTTGCACCATATTAGTGCAACTTTTTGTCAAACCCAAAATTTTCAGTCAAAATACATTTACATTAATTGCACATGAACACATTTATTATCCAAATTTTTGGGTAAAATATAAAAAATGAGGTTTGGTAGATACCAAACGTGTCAAGCTTCCAAATTACATGTAAGGTTGAATGTTCTGCGCTATGAAACAGACCCAGAAGGGGAGATTTCACAGAGAGTAAGGGTTAACCGCAAGCTGTTGAAACTAAGGCTAGATAAGCCTCACAAAATGGTTTTAGAATAGTGAGCGCTATGGGTCTCCTGGAGTGAAGTGAGGATCCAACAATGACTAATTAAATAAGTGGTATAAAAATATATAAATATCTCTAAGTGAACATCTTATTATGTGGAATAAAAATTGCTGAAGTGATATGTGAATAAACGAAACAAAAATCAACAATGTAAATTGACTAATAAAAAGTGCTTAAATATAAATAAATGTGAATAAATAAGTAAGTAAATAAATACAAATTACATGTGCCTGTGGAAATGGTGATAATTGATGGTAGCAAAAATAGGTCATAGGTGACTCTTTAGGAGCCTTTATAGCTTATCAGTATATAATGAAAGTAGAAACTTTTTTTCATTAATTAATCCAAATCAAATAAATATTAATTTCCTAGCAAAGTGTTTCTTTAAATCCTAAAGCACAGTGTCCAGCAGCTACCTATCACTTGTTGGTGAAGGCAGGAGGGAGGACAGAGGAGTGGGGAGCAGGAAGCAGAGAAGTGTCTTGCCTTGCTGTGAGTGTTTGTGGAGACACACACAGCTTACTAGCATACACAAGGGTGACTCCATAGGACCCTGCAAGAGAAAGAAGACATACTAAAACAGGATATCAGGGCCACTGCTCAGAAGACCAGCTGATTCTGCAGTGAACTAAAACTTTTAAACATCAAGGAGCAGCAGCCATTGTAAGTAATTTAATCAGCATTTGAAATAGCTTTAAAACCTTTTGACTTTAATATCACTTTAACAGTGAATGATGACCTTAAAATTATTGATCTCACACTGGAGTGCGGTGATACCTAACATGTGTATTGCTGACGCTTCCGATAGCCCCCTAAGTGATAGCATATTGTAGGTCACAGGTTCTCTTTAAGGAGGCAAATTGTGCTTGATTAGCTTCAATGACAGCTCTGAATTGGCTGGCTCCTGTACAGCTTCTTCCTCATACACTACTATGCAGTGGACTGCAAGAGGCTGATACCAGGTTCAGGTACATAGATTTTCTACAGAATGTTTACTGAATCCGCCCTTTATATATTTAGAAATGGTGACAATATCACCCTACCAAACTTTCCAAAAGCTTCAATACTTTGAGTAACTGGCCAGAAACATATATTCAGAAAAGGATTTGTGACTTCACTCTGACTTTCTTAATCTGCATGTTGCAGATTCCATCTTTTTCTCAAAACGGGTTTAGCGGCTGTTTTTTGCAGTTCCAATTCATGCACAGATTCGTACCACAAATTTTGTAGACAGTCACCCCATCACTTCAAGGTACCTTTGTAAAGCAATATCTTTTTGTTATGCAGTGTGCAGCATATCAAGCAA